GGCCTTCGAACCCCTCGTGTATCGCATTGTATTGTTATTGTACTGTCGCATGTATTGTCTCCCATTGTAATGTACAGCGCTGAGCAAACTGTTGGCGCTATATAAAATACTGTATAATAATAATAAAAATAGCATTTTTTGTATTACTTGCCAGGTCGCTGGAAAGATTTGATTCCAGGGTTAATGATAATGAGTAAAAGGAATAATGCCGATGAGTTTCAGTGATATCGGCTCCCCCTTCTTCAGGGCTCTTAGGGCCATGTAAGACAAATGATTTATTTGAAGTAATCTTTTTTTTTTTTTTTTTTTTTTCCCCTAAAGGATTCTGGCTGAAGAAATCATAGATAATTCTACAAAATTGCTAACTCAGTAATTGTAAGTTAGTTTGCAGCTTAGTAGCTCAGTGATTGAGTTTGAGCAGCATTTCATGTCAGCAACCAGCCTGCAAGTGACAAACACTTTGCATTCACATTTATGGCTTTACTAGAGATAGATGAAAGAGAATTATTTGTAGTGGAGCACACCACCCCAGTGCTGTAGTACTAGTTCAACTTGTAGCAGCGACCAGTCGCTTCTTTGCAGCAAAATGTCAGCGACTCTAGCAATGAAATGACTAGCTGCAAATCGCTGTTAACTGGCATTAGTGGTTTGTATCAGCAGTTAATTTCCCATCTGACCTGCCCTTAGTGCTGATAGCAGGAGAGTTTGACGTGGAACCACTTGGTTGAAGCATAGTATTTAAAGTTGTATTAAACCCAAAACCAACATGTAATGTATTGCAGTTTACCAATAATTAAATGTGCTGGCTGCATTAGTTTTCTTTTCTTTGGCTTTTTTTCCCCCTCTGTTGTCACCTGGTGATCTGGTCAGTAACACACCTCCTGTATTAAAGTGCTCCCACTGATGAAATGATGATGAAATAGAAATAGGGCAGGGGGTACAGCTGACAGAAGCATTCTCAGTCAGGGGGGAGGGGACTGTTAGATGTACTAGCAGATTGATATACACTAACAAATTTAAGCCAAACTTCAGCTCACACTTTATAATCAGTTGCAGCACACCGTTTTTTTTTTTTTTTTCATTTTGAGATAAACGTTTTACATAAATAAATAAAATCTGATTATTTTAATCACCTCTGTCTGTTAAATGGTTTGTCTCATCCCTGTAAACTGCTACATTCTGCTGGAGAGCTTGTGCTTCTGAAAAACAATAGACTTGTTGACTGGATCGCTAAATGAAAATAGAATAAAGAAAGCCTAAAAAGGAAACGAATGCAGCCAACACATCCTAGGAATTGATAAGCTGCAACATAATACATGTTTGCTTTTTGGGTTTAGTGTGGTAGTAAAGTCAGTTTTTGTACTTGTACCTACCCAGCCTATAATAAGGCTTACCTGTAGGTACTGTATATATCCTCTAAATGTGCACTGTTTAGGAGATTTTTTACCTGTCTAGAGCACCGACACATGCGATCTGAAGGAGCGGCATGCCTGTGTTGTTCCTTCAGAGCTGTGTGCTGTAAAAAGTGACTCTTGCGACTTGGCCTGTGAACCCAGAAGAAGGACTGGTGAAGATGGAAGCCCTGTCAGCAGCGACAGCGTGCCGCTGGAGGGCTTCGTTTTAAGATAGGTTTCTTATAATGTGCTAGTATGCAATGCATACTAGCACAATCTGCCATTGTCTTGCAGGTTTTGAAGGCTCGGTGCATGGGCAGATATGCGGAACGGCTCTGGCTGGCTTTTAGGACCTGGCAGAGCCCTGTAGCAGATCTATGTATGTGCTGAGTTTCCCTGTACATGCACATAAAAATATAGATATGGGGCCTCGTTAGTTGCACCATCTTTGCGCATGAATTAGGGCAAAACTTGCACAGGCGCAGATGTTCTGAAGGTCTTTTCCAGGCCTTGAAGGTTGGCCAGAGCCTTTCTGCGCATGCGTGGAATCAAATGCATGTCATTCTTGCCTAGGTGGGAAAGGAGGAATTGCTATCGCGCAGCATAAAAAAGTCCAAATCACTTTTTTTAAAAATCCAATTGTGGGGAGGGAGGGGCTGGAGTCAGGTGCAAAGAATATGTTTTTTGTGAAATTCCACTTTAACAAAAATACTGTATATTGTAACAATATTTTTACAATTTTTACTGCTATTTTGATGAAGGTTCCTTTTGAGGCTCCAAAACGTCACATTTTTTTCTTTTGTGACAAAATAAAAATACTTTCCTTTTGATTTTATATACGGTGTGCTGGCGACTCTTGGACAGTTCTAAAGATAATGGATGACAGCGCTATTCTTCAGCTCGCCATTTTCAGCCAAGCCTTGGGTCAGTACACTATGAAGTGTGCTAAATCTCATTATTTCACAGATCTTTACTGTTTGCAGTGGCTGAACCTTTATTCGTAGAAAGGGAAAGATTAACCCCAGTTTAAACGGAATGTTGCATATTATATTACTGCTCCGCTGCAGATTATACGGCTCCTGGCTTCAGGCAGTCCATGTAATACAGCATAAAAATCAAAAGCCTGAAACCTGCCCGGGGCGCACAGACTGGATCAGAAAAGGCTTTATTCTTCCTCAAAACGGCCGGGCGGTTCCGGAGGCAATATGTGCCGTGGGGACCGGCGGCTCAGAGACACTGCGGATGGCGAGTCTGCACTAGATTGTCAATGGTGCAGGAAAGGAACAGGAACGATCGATGGATTACCCTGGCTTCGCCTCTGAGCGGGGCCTAAGGCTGGACTGCTTCTTTGTGGTGGTTTTGGGCTCTTCAGTTTTGGTGCCAAGTAATATTTCAGATTTAAGAAGTGAAATCAGCCATCCCCAAACCCTCATATAATCTGAAACCTCAAAATAACCGAAACCTAATGCTAACTCCTAAGGGTTAAAATGTATATCATTTTTTAATCATGGACAGGGGTCCGTACCCATAGTGAAAAAGAGAGAAAGAGACAGTCCAGAATATACAGGAGCATACCTGAGTCTGCGTGATACACAGGTGTCACAAATGTGCTCAGGGAATACTGGAGTCCCAGGATGACACAGGATGCTCTGGGGTCACGGTCTGATAACTGGGTGACACTGGATGCTGAGGAGCCGCTGGCAGCCACATGGTGCTGTGAGATCTCTAGATGACACAGGATGTTCTGGGAATGGGTGACACAGGAGTGTAGTTGCCATTGGAAACACAGATGTCATTGGAGACCCAGGAATGCAGGGGTCATAGGAAATGCTGGGGGTCTTCGAAGACCCAAGAGTGCATGGCTGACCAGAGATACTGGGACACAGGAATACAGGGGTCACTGTCATTCGACAGGAGTCACTGGAGACCCACAAGCGTATGGGTCACTGGGGAGATTGGAAACTATCTTGAAACAGGAGCACAGGGGTTCCTGGAGATGCTGGGGTCACCAAAGAAAACCGGAATGTAGTTTTCTGCTTTGCTGATTGGCTCACTACCTTCCTCATAAATATAATAAAGCTTGAGGTAAAATGTCAGGCATCCCTTGATCTTCCCTACGTAATGCTGCTTGCAAGTCTTTTGACTTTGGTGATTTACTAGGGTAAATGGGTAGCACTTCCACCTGGCAGTACTAGGGTAGTTGGTTTGAATCCCAGCCACGGCCACGGTTTACCCCGGGTACTCCGGTTTCCTCCCACACTCTGTTTTCCTCCCACACTCCAAAGACTTGCTGGTAGGTTAATTGGTTCCTGTCTAAATTGGCCCTAGTATGTGTATGTATTCATATGAGTACAGCCTAGTACACACTATGAGCAAATTAGATGACCGATCGTCTGATTTTCTATGAAAGTGCATATCATGATGTAGTTGAAATGATATTGACTCTTGGGTGACAAAAGTGACTGTAGCTATGTATTAGCATAGTAGCAGAGAAAATGTAGGCTTATTCTATGCATCCGATCATTTTTTTCTATTCAATTATTGCCGTACGATTACTATACACATTAAACGAAAATTGAATGTTGTGTTCATGTACATTAAAAATTTCTCGCTTGCACCCTTGTTTTTTGCCATCCGAAAAGTCAGAATCAGCTGCTGAAAGAACTATACTAACGATCAGATAATCGGCCAATCGTTCCTTGTATGGAAATTTTCGTCCGATTTTCTTACCGTGTGCACAGGCCATTCGGGACCTTAGGTTGTAAGCTCCTTGACGGCAGGGACTGATGTGAATGTAAAACATACTGTGTGTATATACCTGTATTAAATAATAAGTACTGTGTATTATAAAAATGTACATATTTTGTTTTACCCCATCTATTACTTGAAATAGATGCATGTTTGCATTTTCCCTCCTTGTACTTTTCTCCGCCACTTGTCGTCTGTCCTTCACCAGGACGCTCGTACTTATCAGTTCCGACAGGAGATGGTATCGGAGAAATTCCTGTAAACATCGTCCTTTCTTCACATTTCCTGATCTTTAACTAGAAAAATAAACTTTTCATGTCTGTACCTGATTATCTCTCTGCCTGTCCTCGTATCAATATCTAGCTACTTAATTGTATCCAAATCAGGCTGAGGGAGCCTGGATAATGCCACAGTGCTGCGATGGCAGCTGTCAGCGCCCGCTCTAATCGCATTATCCGTCTGTGATATTTCAGGATAAAAATAAATGGCTGCTCGTACATTAACCCTTCATCTTCAGTGCAGGTGAAGAGGAATAGGAGATGCAGAAAGAAAATATTCACTCTTAGAATTGGACTATAATGAGTTTGTGAAGAGACAGTCTCATGCATCACCAAATGCATGTAACATAAAGGTTCAATGATGTATAAAAAGAACCTGTAGGATAGACATATGGTAGCTGTCATTGCTGACATGCTCCAGGGCTGTCATACTTCACATCCTACATTAGAGGGCCAGGTACCTAGAGCATGTGCACATGTAAGTGTCAGGACACCTGATAAGTACAGGCTTCTTCCCAATCGGGCTTGGTAGTGCACCAAAAGTTTGATTACCAGATGTGGAACATGCAGCTGAAAAGCACATGAGCAGTATCAGCTCCTTTATCTTTGTTTTGTGATACTTTCCATTTAATGATGAGATTTTCTCGCAATAGTTTGTGTCTCTGCCCCTCCCACAGTGGGGAGATTTCCTGCAGTAGTTTGTGTCTCTGCCCCTCCCACAATGGGGAGATTTCCTGCAGTAGTTTGTGTCTCTGCTCCTCCCACAATGGGGATATTTCCTGCAGTAGTTTGTGTCTCTGCCCCTTGCACAATGATGGGATTTCCTGCAGTAGTTTGTGTCTCTGCCCCTCCCACAATGGTGAGATTTCCCTGCAGTAGTTTGTGTCTCTGCCCCTCCCACAATGATGAGATTTCCTGGAGTAGTTTGTGTCTCTGCCCCTCCCACAATGGTGAGATTTCCTGCAGTAGTTTGTGTCTCTGCCCCTCCCACAATGGTGAGATTTCCTGCAGTGCAGTCTAGTCCCACAATGGTGTGATTTCCCTCTGCCCTCTCCCCTCACACAATGGTGAGATTTCCCTGCAGTAGTTTGTGTCTCTGCCCCTCCCACAATGGTGCCATTTCCTGCAGTAGTTTGTGTCTTGGTGCCCTTTCCTGCAGTAGTTTGTGTCTCTCTGCCCCAATCCCTGCAGTAGTTTGTGTCTCTGCCCCTCCCATGGTGAGATTTCCTGCAGTAGTTTGTGTCTCTGCCCCTCCCACAATGGTGAGATTTCCCTGCAGTAGTTTTGTGTCTCTGCCCCTCCCACAATGGTGAGATTTCCCTGCAGTAGTTTGTGTGTCTGCCCCTCCCACAATGGTGCCATTTCCTGCAGTAGTTTGTTTCTCTTCCCCTGCCACAATGGTGAACGTTACCATTATTATTTATTCTCAATATGCAAGAGAGTGACACCATCGATTTGTGTGATGGCAGTTAAATGGAGCTGTATGTTGCGGAGTCCCTGATTTGTTACGAGATTCGACTTGCTCACAACTTTTCCAGTGGAAATCTCAGCGCCGTGTTCAGCAGCCCTTTTAGACGCCGACCTGTGGAATGAATTCTCCACCTATACAATAATTCTCCCGATAATAATGTCACCAGCGCAGTCACAGATCTATGTTTACATCATTGTATACCTTCGCTCTTGTGACACACGATGCAGATGAGACACACCATTGTCACATCTCGGGTAATGTGCCGCCTGCGCGCAGTAATTAGCAGCCCTTGGCGCTACACTGGGCGGGAGTCTGTGTGGGGTCGCTGTAATTAATGGAGGAGCTCTGTGTGGGGTATCACTGCATTGAGATGAGGTTCTTTACACCTACTGATTCCTGAGACACCTGCCAGCGAGGGGAGAAGTAGAATTAATTATCGGCGGGATCGGTCCTAATTATTACATTCCTATTTGTATCTGATATTGTTTCCCCAGAAAAGATGTTGTAGAGGAAATCTGTAAAGTACTGCCTGTGTGTGGACAGACTGTGCTTCTATAATCAGATTTGAATAAAAATAAAACCAACTATTTATGATATGCTAGGGCTATGGCCTTTGTTCACAGGGGGGTGTACTGTACTGTATACCCATGCAGGGCTGTGTTTACCTGCACGTGCAGGCAGTCCTATTAATTTGTTTTTGGGTCACAGCAGGTATGCGGACACGATATGTCAGGTGTTGTGTCGCAATAAGACACCTGTGTAAGTGCATGTACCCACACGGATGTCATATTAGGACACAGCAGCTAGGTGCATACGGTTTTAAGCTCTTCTCCTCTGTAGGGGTGGGTGAATAATCTAGAGCTCTCTGAGCTGACATTTGTGTTCTTTAGTCAGTGACTTAAGAACTGCTTAGGCTGAGATGATATTATTAGTCTGCTGCAGGCAAGAGGAAGAATTTCCTCAGTCTCCTTTCCCCCACTGACCAGACTGCAACTTTGTAACTTTGCATCAGATCACAAGGTGAGAGGCTGCAGCAGGGGCTGATCTGTGTCAGATATATGTGGACACAACCAAAAACTGCACAGACACCAAGATTTACATGATTGTGTCATCTCTGAGCTGGTATCTCAGTCCTGAAAGTAGATGGTGACCCTGGACGATGCATGAACAAAGATAGTGCCATTGTTCTGGAGAGAAGAGCAGATGATGGCATTGTCAAGGGGAATACTGTGATCTCTGTGAGAGGTAATAATCACCTAAATGTACTTATCATGCATAATTATAGTGCTCAGCATAAATGAGAACACCCTAACAGATTTGTCAGAAAACCTTTACTGTTCTTTCAGAATCAACATTTTCAATGGACACTATACTACAAAATACTGCCACAAATGTCAGCCATTGATTGCAAACAAGATTGGCACACACAAAAAAGTATTTTTGTAACAAATTCATTCAAGACCATGTTGCAAAAATGAATACACCCCAATGAAAGTCTTAGGAGCAAAGCTAAATTTAAGACAACAATATCCTAATTAACAAGAATTCAACTACAGTTGAGTCTAATTATTCAGTAAACAGGTGTCCAGCAGACAGTTGATTATAAAAGGGCGTTACTTAACAAAGAAAACCCCTCCCATTTCATGCTGTCAGCAATGGCACCACATGGAAGAGAAATGTCACAAGGCTTGAGAAAGAAATAATTTCTTTATACAAGAAAGGTGAAGGCTACAAGAAGATCAGCAAAATTTTACTTATCAGTCAGAATACTGTAGCAAAAATGATACAAAAATGTAACAAATATGGAACCGCAACCATCTCTCAGAGATGGCCAGGCCATCCACGAAGCTTAACGCTGCGACAGGAGCGTCATCTGATGAGAAGGGTTGAAGAAAATTGCCATGCAAGTTCACTGCAGTTAGCTAAAGAAGTAGAAAGCCAAACTGGGGTGATTGTTTCCTGTGACGCAATAGGGCACACACTGCAGAGGAATGGCATGCATGAGTGTCATCCACAAAGGAAACCTCTCCTAAAGCCCATGCACAAAAAAGCCTGCCTAGAGTTTTCAAGGGCCCATGCTGAAAAAGAAGAAGACTATTAGTACTCTGTGTGATGGTCGTGTCGTCAGACCCCCAGCCCTTCTCACCGACTTGTGACCGAAGGACTAGCCAATCTAAAACCGCGCTGTCATGTGCGTAACAATGCCACGCTCAGCTGCACCCCGCACAAAGATTTTCCAGCTCACTGGACCACAACCTATGTGCCGCAGCCTGAGAGCGATTGTTACTGGGTCAGGTTAATTACACAATTAACCCTTCACACTGCCACCATCACCACCTTTTTGTACAGAGTAGGAGGAAACTCCCCTATTTTAGCAGTAACACTATGATGTTTGAATAAGCGTCTGTATACACACTGTCACCGCAGGCAGATATATGCAGAAGTTTAAAAACACACAGTAGTGCTCATCAGAGACAGGGATTCTTAGTTTGCATTAAAGAGCTTTAGAAACAGTTCAACACTTTTCAGATAATAGGATTTATTACTAAAAAGGTCAAAATGGTGCAATAAAAATATTTACAGAAAAAGATGTAGCCAATATATATATATAAATACAGAGAGCAATAACACAACAGAGATAACAGAAAGAAGTTTAGAGAGGTAGAATACTTGCCGTCAGCCTTGGTTTAAGCAGATCAAGGTCCTGAACAAAAGGGTACCGTTCTCCCAAGTTGGTTTCTGATGTTAAAAAGGGAGAGTTCTTCATATTACTTCTCCAAGCATAACAGCCTTTTTTCTAGAAACCTAGCAGGGTGTCTCCTTAAAGCAGAGAACCAATCACCTCATTTGGGGAGGGGTGTTTAGGCGGGGAACTCAGGCTATGACCAAATCCCTCCCAGTTTATATCATGGTCAATAACCTTCCCTAGGTACATGTAGCATTCTATCCACTGGCAGGATAATATGCAGAACGATATTCTGAACATCCAGAGATCACATATGACATATCTGGCTGTGACGGTTAAGGAGATATCGCTTTCTGCTCTCAGGTAGACGTAATCTTGGGGTGTAAGGTATCAGGTGACTTGTATTAAAATTACCTCTCTGAATATATGTCTTGTTTTATTGCATGTGTTACCTACGAGAAATTATGAAATTGTATGAAAAAGTGTTTTCACATGGGATGCAGGTTTTACTGCTATTTCGGAATGTGTTTGAAGTCCAGTGACTGATGGGTTTATAGCTTTATGATCAGCTTCAGAGCATTCAGAGCAAGAGTGGAACAAACACCCTGGCATCAGCTATTTGGGTTTACAACCATCAAGGGTATCCAGCTGTGCCCTGTGCACTCCTGAACTCAGCCACACCAGACCACATGTCACTCAACAGAAATGGAGGTGGGCTGATTTTGGAGTGAGAATGACACAAGATGGAGGATCCTTAGCAACATGGACGTCCACGTCCATATTTGTGTACACGATTGCTACACTCTGGAGTGATGAGACCAAGATAAATGTTTTTGGAACTGATGGCTTCAAAACTGTATGGCATCGCAAAGGTGAGGAGTACAAAGAAAAATGTATGGTGCCTACAGTGAAACATGGTGGTGGCAATGTCCTTTTTTGGGGCTGCATGTGTGCTGCTGGTGTCAGGGAGCTGCATTTCATTAGATGTGTACTGCTCTATATTGATAGAGAAGATGCTACCATCACTCCGTGCTCTTGGTTGTTGTGCACTTTTCCAAAATGACAATGATCCAAAACACATTTAAGGCTACTGTTGGTGAAAGTGATTCAGTGGCCAAGTATGTCTCCTGATCTGAACCCAATCGAACCCCTATGGGTGATTCTGAAGAGACAAGTTGAGCATCACTCTCCATCCAGCATCCAGGCTCTAAAAGAGGTTGTTCTTGAAGAATGAAAAAAGACAGATGTTGCAATATGTCGCCAACCTGTTCATTCCATGCCTAGAAGTCTTGGTGCTGTCCCTAAAAATCATGGAGGTCATGCAAAATACTAGATGGAGTAGTTTTTGTTGTGGGGGGTATTCATTTTTGCATCAAATAATTTGCGTAAAACTAAAGATTTTGTAAACCAGGTTATATTATTAAGCTTACTTTCATGTAATGAGCTAAACAAATGTTCTATAAATCAGTTTTTTCTAAATTTTGGAAATTGTTCTTGTGTGCTTTGAGATATTGATTAAAATCTTACTTTTCAAAAGGGGTGTACTCATTTATACTGAGCACTGTATATTTGACCCTAGGTCCACTATAACCAGTGCTGATCTAGTTCAGAAAACCTGCTTCCCATGGCACACCATTTTCCCTGCTCTGCTCCTGTGCAGGTCAGTGGGGAAGAACACAAAGTTGATGAGGGTGTAAGGTGCTGGACTATATATCACTTGTACAAAAGATGAGAGAATGATAAGAGGGGAGCGGTACAGTCTACAAGGGCTTGTTGATCTATTGGGGTGGAAGGGCAGCTCAGCTCTTAAGGCCAGGTGCGCATGTGTGCTCTGGGTTTTTAATGCAGCATAGGATTAGGCACATTATACATTTGTGTTTCCAATTGACCCCTATTAGATCGTGTGTTTTTATGAAAGATGCAGCATGAAGGATTTGGATGCGTTTTCATGAAACCACGCATTCTAATAGAGTTCAATGAGAGCATGCCTAAAAATATGTGTAAAACATGCCAAAAATGCAGAGCACACATATGAAACCCAACCCTCATTTGCCTCTTCTGTATTGTTTGCAAATGTCACAATGTGGTCTGGAATCCCCCTTTAATACCCAGTGCACCCCCTGCTTCTCTCACTTTCCCGCGGTCGCTCGTAGGAGCATTCCTCCTGATGTGATGCGGAAGACGTTTCCTCCTCCTGAGAACTCATCAGACCTCATTTCTGGTGTTAATGAAGA